CAAAAAAGACGTTATATCCATATCATAGCCTAGCTTAGATTAGGATTTCTACAGATCTTATGTGTATAACCTGGTTGATGGCATAATAAACAATGATAAATCTTCTTGTTTTGAAATTGTGACTCCTTTTTAGAGGTTTGCGGCCTCCTTAGAGGACGATTAGTCCTTGGTGCTAGGAGGAAGATTTGGCCCCTAATATTTGGAATGTTGTAGTTATTTGGATGTGGCATGTATATTGTAACAACAGGAATCATGCTAGAACAATATATCTTCTTTTGTGTAGTGATTTGGTAACAATTAATATTTGCAATACTTGAGGAATATCAGGATTTCAAATACAAACTTGCGAATTGCTGTTGAATTCTTGTATTTTAAGAAGAAAAGTTGTGAATCTTAAAAAATAAAACTTGTAAATGGCGATTGATATTTGCAATACTTGAAGAATATAAGAATTTCAAATGTAAACTTGCGAATTGATATTAAATTCTTTCTATTTTAAAAAAGAAAAATTGTAAATCATAGAATAAAACTTATGAATGAAAATTGATATTTGTTACACTTGAGGAACATCAAGATTTAAAAGTGAACTTATGAATTGCTATTATATTCTTGCGATTTTAAGAAAAAAAGTTGTGAATCTTAAAACAAAACTTGTGAATGGCAATTGACATTTGAATTAAGGGTAATTTGATCATTTATATTAATTCCTTAATAACATAAAAGTCCCTAGGAACTTTAAGGGAATTATAGCATTTCGAGATATCAAAATGTCATTTACATAATTCAAAGGGATTTTATTGTTATTTCCTCATGATTCAATGAGGCTACTTTAATTAATAAAAATTATTTCTATTTGATCTGACGACTATTTTGAAAAATTTTATTTCAGATCCCTTGATCACATTTAATGTAAATAGAAGACCTCTTAGATTCTGAAAATTCATTTCAACCAAGGTTACTAAAGTGAAATTAAAATGCAAAGTAAAATTATCTCATTGTCTATTCTCTATTGAAAATTTTCATTTCCCTACATGAAATTGTTTATTGACTTACATGAGTTGTTTGCGCTATTACTAAATCTTAATTTTATTCTAAGTGTTTTAATCATGGTGAAATAAGTTATCCACTTTCTTACATGAAATTGTTCATTGACCTACAAGTGTTATATTATGCCATTATTGAATCTTAATTTTACTTCAAGTGTTAAATGAGTTTTTTTTTTAATCGACAATGGGGCAATAGTCCATCTCTTATTTATTATAAGAAACTAAACAAGGATCATTCAGACCCTTTACATCTCAAAGAAATAATTGGTTGAGGTCTCTAAGATGGGCTTTGATAATACTACAGCCCAAGTTTTGACTTAGACTAGATTTTGCAATCCAATTAGCACACATGTTATTCTCTCTATAGATATGTCTTACCATAATTTTCCAATCCTTATAAATTAAATTGAGGGCGTGCTAAATTTTCCACCATTTTGCTGTGAAACAGTCTAAAGCAGTTTGAAACTCTTGAACCATGTCATATGAGACACTTTCAATCATTAGCTTGTAGAGTTTAAGATCATGTGCCACCCGTACCCCATAAAACAAACCCCAAAACTCAACTTCTTTAGCTATACAAATACTAAGGTTACACATAAATCCACCCTCACCCATTCACCATTAGAATTACAAAAAACCCCATCACAGGTTGCTAGCCTAAGATTTCCTCACGTTGAGCCGTCAACATTAAGTTTAATCCAACCTTGTGAGGGAGGTTCCTATCCACCTTGATTGTGTCTCTGGTTAGAAGATTTCCTCAAATCTTTTTGCATGCTAGTAAACATCAAACTCGCAAAGCTATAGATCCTGTTCTTGATTCTCCCAACATTAATACTATAACCATTAAAGATATGATCATTTCTCAATTTCTGCAACAACCAAACTATGATCCCAAAAATGATGCTCTAAGGGATGCCACAATATTGATGTTTCTTCTTGAGATTCCACTGAAACCAATCAGCCTTTAGACAAAAAAAAATGGTCTGTGTCTATGACAGCAAGAAATCCAATCCAAACATCCTTAGCAATAGTACAATCTCTAAGCACATGCAACACATCTTCGATCTTATTGTGACATAAGTCGCAATAGTTGGGTGAGTGAAATATCAATTTTCTTCTTTGGCCAGTTATAATTCTTTCATGCTTGGCCAGCCACATAAAGATTTGTACTCTTCTAGGACCCTTCCACTGCCAAATAAGATTCTAAACCAAATCAAATTTGCTACTTGGTTTCGAGCAAAGAGCTTTATATATGGAATAGATAAATAAATCTCTATTAGCCTCAAGACCTTAACCAATCCTATCCCTTCCATCAATTGGCCTCGAGTGTGATGACCTACTAGCAACTTGAAGTCTTTTTCCCTTAGAAAACTAGTTAGGAGTGAAAGATTCCACTCACCCTTGTCATTTACAGCGCTTGCTACTATTATATTGAGAAGCTCAATGGGGCGTAGCTGTTCACATCTATCAATCAAGGCCCCACTGTTAGTTAACCACTTATCTTTCCAAAACAGGATCTCCATGCCATCTCTGATATCTTTCTCTAGGAAGTCAACTACTTTGGGCCATAACTCAACTAAATTGTGCCAGAAAGTTGAATCATAGTCCTAAGCAATAGCCCCTTTTGTAAGGTCTTCTTTCCTTATGTATTTACCCTTTAAAATGGAAGTGCACAAGCCGTCTGGTTTAGCTATAATATTCCACATAGATTTTCATAGAAGGGCTTTATTCATGGTTCCTAAACTGCGTAACCCATATCCCCCTTGCTCTTTTGGTAAGCAAAGAGTGTTCTAGCTTAGAACATGAACTCTACTCTTCTCTTAAGTCGAACTCCAAATGAAATTTTGTTGTGCCTTTTCAATTTCCTTGCAAAACATTGGCTGGCACCTTGCTGTGCATCATATGATAATTAGGAATCTGGGCTGTTACAGATTGGACCAAAGTAAGGCGACCTACCAAAGAGAGAGTCTATGCCTTCCATCTACTTAATCTTCGCTGTACTTTCTCAATCAAAAAGTTGAATTGCTGCTTCTTATTGTGTTCTTTAGTATCCATTGAGCCAATATATTTCTCCAAAGCCTCACTTCTTGCAAAACCACTTTGCATATCAATTTCATCCTATATATTATAAAGCACATTATTAGAGAAAAATATACTTGTCTTTTCAATGCTTACCTTTTGTCTTGAGATGTTGTTGAAAGTCTCTAGCGACTTCATCACTACTTTTAATTGTTCAATACTTGCTTCACAAAAAAGGAGAAGATCATCCGCAAATAGAAGGTGAGAGATTGGAGCTCCTTTTCTCCCCATCTTGATTGGTTTCCATCTATTATCAAACATAGCATCCATAATAATGTGATGAAGTTTATCAATACAAAGAATAACAAGATAAGGTGAGAGTGGGTCTCCTTGTCTAAGACCTTTTAAGGTGTAAACATCTCAGTTTTAGAACCATTCCAAAGAATAGAAGTAGTGGTACTAGTCACACATTGCATAGTCAACTCTCTAAAATGTTAAGGAAAATCAATCTCTTTAAGTACTTTCTGAGCAAACTCCCAATTGATTCTGTCATAAGTTTTTTCTAAATCAATTTTGATTGCCATGAACCCTTTTTTCCAGTCATCCACCGCATAGTATGTTCTATCTCATGAGCAATAATAATGTTATCCTGGATATTTCTTCTAGGAATAAAGCTAGACTGGAAAGGTGACACAATATCATTCATCAAGGGTTTAAGCCTGTTAATAATGTCTTGCTCAAACCTTTATAAATGACATTGTATAAAGAAATAGGTCTAAATTGCTACACACATTCAGGGTTGTCCACCTTAAGGATAAGTGCCAACAAGGTTTGATTGATATCCTTAACCTTGTTAGGTTCCCTCCATAATGACATAATGAAATCACAAATATTACTCCCAATGATATCCCAATTATTCAGAAAGAAGATAGCTTGAAACCCATCCTCTCCCGAACTCTTAAACCCATTCATGGAAAAGAAGGCTCTTTTAATCTCCTTGTTAGATAAAGGTCTATCAACCTTGATTCAATCTTTCAATGTTCACATGACCCTATCGTTGATTAGTTTGCACCCAAGTTCTAGTGATAATGTCTTCCAAGAAGAGGTTTTGGAAGCAATTTGTGAAAAGATCACTAATTTCCTTTTCATTGTCAACCCAAGTCCCTTTATCATTTTGCAAGACGAAGATCTTATTTTTTCACCTTCTTATAAGAGTCTTATTGTGATAGTAATGAGTGTTGCAGTCTCTTTAAGTAATCTACTCAGCTCTAGACTTTTGAAACCACAAAAGTTCTTCTTGGACCAAAGCTTCCTCCAATTCTTTAGAAAGTTAGTCTTCAAGGTTTTCAAGAAAAGGATTATATTGCTTTTCTAAAGCCTTTTGAATACCCCCGAGTCTTCTGAGGAGTCTTTCCTTCCTTCTAATAATATTGCCAAAAACCTTATTATTCCAATCAATCAACTTTGGTTAAATTGCCTTGAGATTATGGTTGGCTTTAAAATCATTAGTCAAGTTATTATTGAGAAAATATTTAAACCTTGCATGAGTAAGCTAAGCAGCTTCAAACTTGAAGGGACAATTTTTTTTTCCTCCTATAAAATGAGTTATTCATTTTCTTACATCAAGTTGCTCATTAACATACAAAAGTTATTTGTACCGTTATTAAATAATTTTATATAAGGAAATGAATAATTTCTTGTAAGGTAATGAATAGCTTCTTGTAAGTCAATGGATAAATTCAATTGAGAATAAAAGAGAATGGTAGATAATAAAGTAATTTTACTCTATATTTTAATTTTATTTTAATATACCTGGTCTGAAGTGAATTTTTCAAATTTTAGGGTTTTTTTTAAGTATCGTCAAAGAATTTTAGAAGTTCTTTTAAAAGGAAAAACGGATAACAAATTCTTTTTCTGACGAACAAAGTCTAAAATGACAAATTCTAAGACCCGCGTGTTGACGGAGAGCTAAGTCAGAGTTTTGATAACAACAGCAACAACATTAAGGATTCGCCCAAAAAATACACAAGAGTGCTTGTCGGCGGCGATCTGGTCTCAGTCCGTTTAACGATCAACCTACCATTTGATCGGCTTCTTCCTTTCTGTTCTGTTCGCCAATCAGGTTCCGCCTCTGCATCCTCCATCGAATCTCTCTGCTTCCGCCTTCTGTTCTAGCTTTGTTTGCCTATCTTTTTTCTACATTTTCTGCTTGTTCAGAATTTCCTGCTGTCGTAAAAGATATTGGGGAATCCGTAGAAAATTCAACCCGCATCTTGCAAAGCTGAACTAGGCTTTCCTGGTTGAATCGCTTCGCAGTTGGCTTTTTTTTCCTCCAATTATTGTTGATGTTGATCTTGATGTGATGTAATATATATGTATGTGCTGCATTCGGTGTTAATATTTTCTTTGCTTTTCATGTTCTTTAATTTTTGAATTGTCATATCAGATTTGAAATTGAAAAGAGGAGGAGAAATCTGACAGCATAGAGATGTTTGGGGTCATAAGGCGAAGAGTTGCTTCTGGCGGTTCGTCTCCTTTGGTGAGCACTTAGCTTTACTAAATTTGAGTAATTAGATTGAAATTTGATTATGTTTGTTCGGAACCACTTATGAAAGTTGAGCTCGAGCCTCACACTAATTCTGCATTTATACCAGTTTCAGAGTCTCTCATTTCAGAAAGTTCGGAAAAACCTCCCAAGTCGATTTTCTTCCATTTTGGAGAAAGAGGTATTGATACCTTTCGTTTGTTATATTTTACTTTTTAACTTCTTATTCTTTAAAATATAACTTCCAAGCGATTGCTCAACACGTGAACATATTTAGAACATGTGCTTTGTGCACAACGTAACATATACAAACATTCATGTGCATAAAATTTAAATTACTAGGTCTTTGATGAGTATGTAATTTTCTAATGTTCTCCTTACTGATCTAGGAAAAAATCCGCTGTTCACTGGAGTTTTTTTTTACTTTTATTTTCTAATTACAATTTTTTTAATCAAAGTCTTTTTTTTTTTTTTTTATGGCTTGTTAGTAATCTGACAACTTCAATGTCCATTTTGTTCTTGACTTTTCTCTCTCTGAATTTTTCTTTTAAATTTGCTTATATTTTTGTCTAAAATGTGATGGACTTCATGGATGGTTGAGGGAAGTTTTTTTTTTTTTTTTTAATATGTAGTCACTAAATTATGGCTCTTGCAATTCACCGAGATTCATCATTTGAACGCTTGGCTGCCTAATGCTGCCTAGTTTTTGAAATTTATCACTGCAAATTCATGAAATTTGAACTTTTATGTTTGAAGTGGACTCTAATATACTTCAAAAGGTATACAAGTAATTAGGTTTGGTAGTATATTTGAGTTATATACCAAGTGAATTGAATAGATTTTTTATTTCTTGTTCTATGTGTGTTATCTGGAGTACGTTCCTTTTGTTTATAGTAGAGGCTTTCTTGAAGTCATTAGTAGAAAATTTAACGTTAGAAAGTTGGGGGTTAACATCAATTAGAGACTCTATATCTCGTTTCCACAATAAGTGTTTGGACCCTTCATTTCCATCGCAACTTCTTCGTTTTTTTTTTTTCAATATAAAGCATGGAATTATAGAATTCTTTGTCCCTTTTTTGTTTTTGCAAATAAGTCTTAAGGGCATTATTGTTAGTGCCAGGGAAATTTGTGTACCTCCGCCACACTTGTTATGTATCACAATATACTTTAAAGGCGCAAGGCACTTGTAAGCCATGTGCTTGAGTGAAGCAAGGTGCTACCATGTGAAAATACATAATGTATAGACAAAAAATCAGATAAATGTAAATTTATTTAAGCTTCATATGAATACTATGAAAAATTGTGCCATATGAAGAAAACAGAGATAAATGTAACAGTCATCTAAATCATAAGCTATTACGAAGCAGTAAATTGCTCTAATGACTACTTAAGTTCAGAAAGTGTTTTGAAAACAAGAAGGAACAATATAAAAGCCTATCAACTATCAAACTAGATATATGAATTAGATTTAGAAGCACTAAGCTCAAGACTTTCTTTTCTTCTCCTTCATTGTTGGATTCATATAAATGTCATATCTTATTTTAAAGGTGAATATCTATTTTTTTTAGTTGTACAACTTTTTTTGATCAGCTGTAATTGGATAACTAAACCATCTTAATTTGAATTTAAATATTTCCTATTTTTTTATTAGATAATGTCATATACAATATTTTAATATTTTATCATGTAAGTTTCTATATCTTATATCATACTTTATAAAAGTCGTTCAACTTTTAATGGGTTCTCTATCATCAAAAAAGAAGTGGAAACATTTGTCTTCTTCAATTTCGGCCAACAGTCCTACATGACCTGGACACTTCTACACATTCACAAGAGCTCAGAGGCACATTGACACATTGACAGAAGCTTCATCAGCCAAAGCGACAGTGCAAAACATTGTTGACGTCAACCTCCAAAGCCAGAAAAGTCTTCATTGTCTAAACCTGAAAAGCTTCAGCATCGTTCCTTACTTCACTATGTGAAACTCAAACCAGTTGCCAAACGGCGCATGACTTTTGATTGAGAAAGGCACACAAAGTGCCCAAAGGCGAGCGCTTGAGTGAACCCACTGCTTCTCTTCACACAAGAGGCCATGAGGGTGTTCTGTTCCTTGCCTCAGCACCTTAGGTGCAAAGACGAACACCTTTAAACACTACTTTTTCTGATCATTCAACATGTAGAAATCTTTTAATGTGGTTTGTTCTCATTTTATACGGTGATTTTTGTTTAACTGGATAGTTTTTTTCAAAAAAAGAATGGGGGAAACATAGCATTGTTTTGTTGTTATTAGTTATAATGTTGGCTGTCCAGATGTTTGGGATTTACTTACCACTCAAATGTTCAAGTTTTTACAACTTTTTTTTGGTTAACAGATCGTTTGTCTTTCTGGAGGATGTCAGAAGGTTCGGAATATCTCTCATTCAAGTTCAAGTGGTAAATTTGGGTGCATTTTTTTTTTGGGCCATGCTTTTAGCTGGAAGTATAACTCTACATGTCTGAGAGTTAAATCATAAGCTATATTGTTGTTGCAGGATGCTGGAGTAATTTAAAGTCCATGAGGTTAGTGATGCTGTGTGATTAAGACTTCTTTTTGGGGTTAAATTTAGGAATTTTCTCAGGCCTCCCCAAGTTATTCAAGTACACTCCTCTAGCCTTCTAAAATTGGGACATTGTATTTTAGAGTGATGGAAATTGAATCCAGCTTTTTGACGGGAGATGCCATCTTTTCTTGCCAACAGAGCTAATCCCTTCGGGAATTTGGACATCTTTCTAGGTTGAACAATTTTATGATGCAGTAAAAGTATATTTTATTCATGTGCAGCAGTAGGTTTTATAGATACAAACTCTCAATCAAATAGAGAGGGAAATGTTGAGATACTAGGAATAGTAAATATAAAATAAGGAATCAGAATCAAGTCAGAACAAGAAAGGAAATAAACTGATAGTAAGGGAATATAAAAATAAATACCATGGCTTTAAGAATTGGACCAAACTGGCTGGTTCAATCTGTTGGACTGGGAACTGGCTCTTGGTCTGGTCTGGTCAACCCTGAAAACTAGACATAAAATGGACCAGTCAATTGCCAGTTTACTCAGTCAAAAACCAGTAGCAGCTTACTCCCTTCGGACCACAATATAAGACGCTTTCTAAGCACCTTTTGGTCCAAAATATAAGGCGTTGGATAAGTTTTATATTTCTTCTACCATTTATACCTTTGATTTTTTTTATTCCTTGTCTTTAAATGTTTTATATTTAAAGACCATGCACGTGTTACTATGAAAACTCAAGGGTATAAATGTAAAGATTTAGACATTTTTAGGAAAATAAGGTTTTTGATGCTTTCTAACATTTTTCATAAAACGTGAGTTAGTTACTCATGGCATATATTATGGTCCGGATAGAGTAACTGGTTAAAAGCTGGACTGGTTTTAAGCATAAGAACCAGATCCAATTTTTTTTTAAAAGAGTCAATGGTTGCAATTTTTACACGGAGGATAGGGCCAAGAGTTGTAATTTTTCTTAGAAGCCAACTCAGCCCTAGCGCACATCGTCTGATGATCCCACCCCATTTTTTATTGAGCAAGCATCCTAATGAGTACATGCAATCTTATGATTTCTGTTTCACCATAACACTACAATGTTGCACCCCTATAAAGCAATGCTGCATCTGAAACTGTTTCTTATGATTTGACCTTAACTTTTAAAGACAAAAACTCAAACAGACAAAAAAATAATAATAATACTAATAGGCGACCTAACATGATCAATCAGGCCCATAATATAAATGGATGGAGTTTAAAAAAGTTTGCTGAAAATATCCTCCCCCAAACTGCTAAATGCAAACACCCATTATATATGTCAAAATCAATTATGAAACCAAAACTATAGTTTTTTAAAAAAATATCCAAACACCTTCTTACACTCCAAAATCAATTATGCACCCAAAACCAGTTATCTATAAGTTACTACTACTTGCTTTTCAATTCATATTTTCAATTATACTTTTCTAAAAACTTATCCGAAAATCATATATATTATTTTACAAATCATATTTTTGGGTTTATTATTGATTTTGACATATATAGAGGTGTTTGGATATTTAAAAAAAAATGGTACTGGGTTCAAAATTGGATTTTGGCATGTATAATGGGTGCTTAGATATTTTTAGGAAAATGTGATTTTAGATTCATAATTGATTTTAACATGTAATTGGAGTGTTTGGATATATTTTCACAAAACCATGGTTTTGACCTCTGAAATTGATTATAGAGGTTATCCAAGCAGGCACTAAGATATGTTAGAGAATAGAGATCAGATTCATTACTCATTGAGTGTCAAAATACTTTCTCCAATCATGGCAGTGATGATACCAAGCCACAGATTAACTGCAAAATACTTTTTGTTATTTGATGTTCCTGAAGTCTCCTATTAATTTAATTTATTTTTGTTGGGGTTTTATGGGATTCTAGTGGCAAATTGTTCACTGTGTACTCTATGAGTATGTTGCATGCTTGTACTGATGATAGTTTGAATTTTCACTCACATGACATGAACTTGCATATGACATTCATTCAATTACTTAGTTCCGAGCTTTTCTTGTGTGATTGAAAACAGCAAATGTTGCCAAAGACAAAAATCTAAATGAGATCTTTTTTTAACAGAAGGAAACAAAAAAGAAAAAAGAAAAGAAAGGAAAACTGAACGGTGTTTGAGAAAGAATGGGGAAAGTCTAAACTCTACTTATTTGTGGTATTGCTTCTTCTGTTTTTAATCAAATTCTGTCACCGGGGCTTTGTGTAAGGTGGCATGCAACAATGATGAATCAACTAGTTCTTTTTCCCTTCTCCCAGTTTTCTTTCTGTGAAAATATTATCTATTTTTTTTTTGGGTAAAAGGACAATTTGCATTAGTCAAAGTCTATGGTTACAAGGGTGGCCAGTCCCAGAATAAGTGTTGGCATCATTCTCATTGCTGTGTGGCATGCAGGGAGTTTTATTATCAAGAGGTTACCAGGCAAACATGGAGGCGCTCCTTTTCTTCAGATAATGGTGAGTTATTGGCATGCCTCTTTTAATCATTGATTTGTACAGTTTACTTATTTTGTCCATCAATTTTCTTTTATTTCTTGAAGGGTAACTGCATGTATATATATTGGCCATTGGAGGGTTATTTGAGGACAACGGTGATTTGGATGCCATGATATTTGATATAGAGGAAAACCTAACACGCTTGTATTCAATTCAAATCACCTTATAAGACTTGTATGTCTTCCTATTTATACTAATAATGATGCAATTAGACCGTTCTAACAATAGTGCCAAACTGACAGATTATTAACTAAATGGCTAACAATTCTAAGTGATGCTATATCCCATGTGACAATTACATTTTCCCTGAGATCTTAGGCCCTGTTTGATACGAAGGATGGATTTCATGGGATTGGGATAGGGACTAGGATTGCGAGTGGGAATAAGATTTTAAGAATCATGTTTGGTACAACATGGGAATGCTTAAATTTTCAAGACCACCTCCCCCATGGGTTTCTCCAATCCCACCTACATCAGTTTCACAAATCTCAAGTAGCAAGTAGCAACCAATCCATTGTACCAACCATTGTACTCGTGCACCTACCAAATAGAGCCTTAGAATTTTGAAACTTCATATATCACCCTTTGGATTGGGTTTGAAAGAACCTTTGTACTATTAGTCCTCAGATGGAAAGAAAAATCCCTCAACTGTAGAATCCTGGCACCATTGCTCAGTTACTGAAGGTGGCTTAGATTGGGGCTCATAATGATGTTAGTGCAGCTAAACTTGCTATCTTTGGAACTCAGTGAGCCTTACCTTCTAGACCACCCAGAAGTTTCTTCTACAAAACCAGAGTATCTATCCCCCAGCAAACACTTGTTTGAAACCTCATTTAGCTTAGTGAAGATTTCATCAACCACAGAGAATCAACAGGTACAGATTTCTTGGTATTCTTCTGCTTCGCGATAAGCATCGAAGTAGCTTGGGTTCTATCTCTTCTTATATTATTCCTGGTGCTTCTTGCTGGTATGAGATGTGGATTCATACTGGCCATTGTGTCTGAGATTGGAGAAAACCAAAAGTCAAGATGAAGAGATGGCTAGTTGTCTTGGTTAGCCTGGTTCAAAAGTCACCTTAACAACTTCTCCTGTCAAGAGGTTTTGATGCATTGAATTGTTCTAAAGGACTGGTGCTAGATGTGAGAAGAAGTTGACAATCTTGGCCTCTTTTGATTTGAAAATGGCACCAACACTACTGGGTAACACCAGCGGTTTTGTTGCTAGCATAATTGCTGAAACAAAGTGTGTTTCTTCCATCAATGCTCTTGTTTCTTCATCTATTATCTCTGCTTTTGTATTCCCTTGCTTATTCAACTTGGCCAAGAAAACATCATCAGCCTCTGTAAAGGTTTCCATTGATCTACCGGATCATTTAGAATTATTGCCATCCTCCAAGACTTATTCCAGATTCTCTATACTACTTGCCCTTGCGTTTTCTTCACCACTGTCAACTTCACTTTCTTTCCTCTTTTAATCATCTTCTTGATTGATAACCTTTTAGAGCCTATCCTCTACTTTTGAATTCTCTTCTGCTTGAACTGCAGGTGGAGGATCCTGAAAAATGGTGGTCTAGGTGTGGCTCTTAAGCGTCACCTCTTGACTGAAAAGGACTGCTGCAAGTTTTGCTTGCCCCTTCTCCTTTCACTTCATGGACTTTCGCCATTCAATAACTCTACAATCCTCATCTTGTGCTCAAGCTTGCTGAGCTTGGCTTCAACCAACAACTTTCCCCATTTGTGGAAACGAAGCTGCATGATATGTTGATGAATGTAACACGCTTGTATTCAAGTCAAATCACCCTGTTAAACTCGTAAATCCTGCTATTTACACTAAGAGGGAGATAATTGAGCCTTTTCTAAATATCTTAACAAACTAACAGATTACAATTTAACTATTAAGCTAACTAATACAATTCCCATGGAACAAGATTTGTTGTAACTACTATCTTAGCGGCTGTCTGTGTACGTTGAATAGATCTTTTGAAATTAGGGTTCTGAATTTGACATTTTTCAGGAAAATTATAGTAAAGGAAATTAAATTTTGAATGGAACTAATATTTGCTATCAATCATAAACATAAATATTTCTAATTAAACATGATCCCTGAAATGTTATTATCAGCTCCCACAATAAAAAATAAACCAAAACATTTAGGCCATTTGTTTTTTTTTAGCTTATCCTATGAAAATGAAGCCAAAATAAGTAGAAGAATTGTACTCTGAGTTTATGATTCTGTTAAATGGAAGCTAACTAAGAACAGTGATAGGATTTATTCTTTTATGCTTCCTGACATCACAAGTAAGCCAAGATACTCAGATGATTATTCTTTGATGCATATGCTTCCCAAAAATAATACAATAACAAGTCTTATCTCATTAGGTGGGGTTCGCTATATGAATTACACAATGCCATTGTTTTTTATCATCAATCAAGTTTTTAGGAATATTGTTGATTAAGAGGTCTCGTTTAACAATTTTTATAAGTGTTTTCTTTAGCCTTCCTCTACCCTTCTTTATAGGGCTCAAGTTTATCCATTTCACTTCCTCACCGGTGCCTCCCATAGCATTCTCTATACATATTCAAACCATCTCAAACGATTTTGTACCATTTTTTCCTCAATAGGTACCATGTCCACTTTTTCTTATATATTCTCATTTCAAATTTTCTCTTTTCATATATGCCTGCACATCTATCTCAATATTCTCTTCTCTATTACTCCAACTTTATGCTTCTGTTGTTTCTTAGAAGTCCAACATTCACTACCATATAACTTAGCTGGTCCTATAGCAATTTGATAAAACTTCCCTTTAACCAAATACTCATACAATTTGTTAAGCAAAACCAAACAGAAATGAGACAATCTCCTCTTTAAAGTTATTATACTTGTGTGCTTATCTTGTTTTGGCTTTTATTTACTTGTTGCTTTAAGTTGATGCATTTTTGCTTTATGTTTGATATAGGAGATCTGGTTGACGTTGTGGTCCCTCCATTAGCTGAATCTATAGCTGATGGCACTCTAGCAACCTTTTTGAAAAGTATGTTGACCGACATTGTCTGTCTGTTCTTTTTTTTATTAAGAAAAATGTTGAAATGATTTTTTTTTATATTTCAATAATTAATAGTTCTTGCTGATTTATTTTGCTTCATGGGAGCAGAACCAGGTGATGGTGTTAAAGTTGATGAACCAATTGCACAAATTGAGACGGATAAGGTGCCAAGTTGAAGCAATATATTAATTTTTGTGAAGGATCTGACAGTTATCATTTAATTGGCTTACCTGATTCCTAAGTAATTAACATGTAACTCCGTTACTTTATTTTCTATTTTTTTCTTAGGTTACAATTGATGTTACCAGTCCTGAGTCAGGCGTGATTCAGAAGGTACTATTTAATTGGTCCAATTTCCTTGTTCAAATTAATCATTCGCCCCCACTATTCTTGTTGCATATATGTTGAAGTTGGACTCTGGTTCATTTAATGATCCTCAGCTTCTAGCCAATGAAGGGGATACTGTTGAGCCAGGTAATAAGATAGCAATCATTTCAAGGTCTGCTGAAGCCACAACTCATGTAGCCCCATCTGAAAGTGTATCTGAGAAACCTGCTCCTCAGCCAACCCAAAAGATCAAAAAGGAGGAGGCAGCACCTAAAGTTGAAGCTGCCCCTACTACGGAGAAGCCTAAAGCACCCTCTCCTCCACGGCACTCTCCCACAGAGCCACAGCTTCCCCCTAAGGAAAGAGAAAGACGAGTGAGTCATTGTGCTTTTTTTAATAATTAATAATTATACCTAAATGTAGCTGAGCACTTAAAATTATTTTGATGTGTTTCTTTCCTCATGTATATAAAGGTTCCTATGACAAGACTTAGAAAGCGGGTTGCTACTCGGTTGAAAGATTCCCAAAATACTTTCGCATTGCTGACAACATTCAATGAAGTTGACATGTAAGTTGTATTATTTGTCAAATTGTGACACAAGCTTCTGACGTGCAATTACATTTAATGATGCAAACTTTTGAAATTTCAATTTTTTATCTCTTATTTTTAATTATGATGATGTGAGACGTGACCTTGCTAAAAGATATTCTGTTAAGAAATTACCCAGGGCTCGTGCCCTGATGTAGGCAGATTGCCAGATTCAGCGGAAAATGAAAAGCTTCTCCCAGCCATTGGTGCTGTCTCCCCCACACCCCCCCCCTCCAAAAAAAAAAAAACAAAAGAAAAGAAAAGAAAAGAAACCCACCTTCCTTTTAGTCTCGCCTTTTTAATCCATCTGAATCTCCTCATTTTTGTCTTTTTCCTTGAAGGTCATTCGCTAAACTCTAATCAGGTGAGATTTAGCTATTTCTAGGAACACTGTCGGGGACTGCTTCCTTTTGGGTTTGCTTTTTGTCTTTTCCCTATGTGCTTTAGGTCCTAGCAAAAGACCCGTTAAGATCAGGTCCATTATAACTTGTTGATAACAACCCATGTTTTCCCCTTCTCAATCCATGTTGATCTACATAAACTACTAAAGTAAATCTGTTACCTGGTATAAATAGAATGTGGGCCTCGTGCTTTGTAACGTGCTTTGTAAAGTTTGAGGTGAGCCACATCATTCATGGATCAAGAATAATGCGACTTCTTATAAATTTTATTTTATATATGGACAACAACAACGGAAACAGTAATAATAAAATGATAATATTTATCATAGTCATCAAAAATTTTATTTATATCAAAAATAGATTTATCGTCACCATCACTACTATTATTTAAGGGTTTTTTTATTTTACAAGAACCATTCCACATTAAGCGCATTAAAATGAAATGATAAAGTGAAGCGAACTCAGTGGCATAAAAACCTGACTTTCTGCTTTAAAAAATATTAAATTACTCCTGTCATTTTCCTGATTACTCTGCTCCCTATGGTAGGACTAACTTGATGAAGCTTCGTGCTGATTATAAGGATGTTTTTGTTGAAAAGCATGGAGTCAAATTGGGACTCATGTCTGGGTTTGTTAAAGTATGATTTCTAAGTATTGAATTATTGAGTTAAAGGGCATTGGCTGAGCATTTTTTGTTTATTTTCTCATCAATGTATGTTTTTTTAATTTCAGGCTGCAGTGAATGCACTCCAGCATCAGCCAATAGTAAATGCTGTCATTGATGGTGATGATATAATATACAGAGATTATATAGATATCAGCGTAGCTGTTGGCACTTCAAAGGTTTTTAGTGGCCATTTTAACCTCTCTGCAGTCCTTGTTATTATAAACCTTTGGGGTTGGATTTGTCAGTTCTTTGATGAAACTTGAAAGCTTGTCTAAGATAACTTTAAAATTACTTCTGTCACTGGTTGGTGTCATGTCTGTTCAGCTGAAGTGGTATATAAATGGTTGGATCTATATTTTAACACTTAAAACATGGTCATCCATCTATGGTATGTGAATATCTGTTATTTTGTTTCACAATATAGTGATATAAGGATAACAGACTGAAATATTGATTTTTCTTTACACTTCATGAATCAAGTACTCTACCGATTCTCTATGGGCCGTGTTTTTTAGTTCAGCAGTAATAATTCTTAACATTGAACTTGTATTTTATGCTTGACTATGAAAATGACTAATGTGCCCTGTTGTTTTTGGACTTCAGTGACAATGTTCTTTCTTTTTGTTCCCAGGGCCTTGTTGTACCCGTCATTCGCAATGCTGATAAGTTGAACTTTGCGGAAATAGAAAAGGAGATAAATAATTTTGCAAAAAAGGCTAATAATGGAACTTTATCAATTGATGAGATGGCTGGAGGCACTCTAACAATATCAAATGGCGGTGTTTATGGGAGCCTTTTGAGTACCCCTATAATCAATCCCCCTCAGGTTTGGCAACACAAGATTTCTGATATATATGCATTTATCTTAAATCATTGACTGCACGTTGTTTTTTAATTACTCTCGAACAAATACTGGGATCTGGTTGGCAGTAGGTAGTGATGGGATAAATACAGTTCTTTACCTACATTGCTTATGCATCACGTCATTCACGTAAAAAAACAATTCCAAACTATATTGTTCATGCATCTTCTTGTTATTAATATACAATTCCAATTTTCACCGACATCTCTCCAATTGGAATTTGCTCTCAGTGGGGCAGCGGGACGAGTGTAATTTGAAATATCAAGCCAATCTTTGTGTTATTGTTAATCAACAATTCAGGATCATTGCACCCCCTTTTTTTGGACGCCTGATAATGGTCTCTTATTCATGTGAACAAAATTTGGTGTTAGCTACTATTTAGGAAGAAATCTCATGCAACTACTGTTTTTGGCAGTCCGCAATTTTGGGTATGCACTCTATAGTGACACGTCCAATGGTGGTTGGAGGTGAAGTAGTCCCAAGGCCAATGATGTATGTTGCTCTGACATATGATCATAGATTGATTGATGGAAGAGAGGCTGTGTTCTTTTTGCGTCGAATCAAAGATGTTATTGAGGATCCTCGCAGGCTTCTGCTCGACATATGAACTACCCCTCAACTTCGTTAGAAAATCAAACACCTTGATATTGAAGTATGACAGACAAATTGGTTTCTCAACCCTTATTTATGGTTGGTTCATAATTTAAAAACTTATGGAGGGCAAACTCTTTGGGGTAATAGACCTATCTGTATCTGCAGGTTAATTCAGCATGTCCTCATTCTTCTAGCTATACTTAGTTCCCACTTTTTGTCCTGGCTTACTGAGAGTAACACTTGAGTTTTCCGGCTCTCAACTTACGTGGAACTTCAATGATTGTTCCACGAAGTAATAATGAGATTTATTTTTGTATACATCAATGCTACAATGCAATTCCAGTTCGGATAATTCTCAAGTATTAATCCCCTTTTTTTTTGGCCAACAACTATTAATCCTTGTTTGTTTCTCTTGATTTGTATTAGTTTTCCCATGACCTTGGTATGCTTCTTGTACAAGTGGGTCCTATGCATTGTTGCTTTTGTTGGGACCAATAAATATTGGTTCAGTGTATGTTTGAGTTTTTACCCTAGAGACTACCAAGATTATGATTTTTTGTAGGAGCCGGTAACTAGCTGAGTTTACCAAAACCAAAACCAGTTTTAGAATTTTCCAACATAGAACTATATGCACTCTCAATTCTATGAAGTCATTTGAGTTTCAATTTCAATTGAAACCAATTTAACTTTTTTTTTTTTTTGATAAAAAGTCAATGTATGTATACATATAAATCAAGTGCAACAGACCAAAAAGCCCTCAAATAAATCTGAAAGCCCAATCTAAAAGTATTACTAATGAGGACCAACAAAAACGGAACTTTAGAAAATGAAACCAAATAAACCAGAAACACAGCTGCTCCTTGATTAGATATGCCCAAACCAGGTTCATCCAATCCGAAGGTAGGTCCATAAGACATTTTTGAAGGATTAGCAAGCAACACATGGAAAAAATCTCTAAAAAGAGAAAAGATCAAGATGCAGGAAAATATCCCGTAGGATTTGAAAGACCAAGCCTATCAAAAAGCTTTGGAACTTTTAAAAACTTACGTGCATGAACCAGATGAAGACAAACCCAGATGAAGGAACTAAAAGCAGACAAACGAAAATAGACGACCAAACAGACGACAACAAAAACAGACAGACCAACTAGACGAAAGTAAAAATATAACTTCCTAACAGTTGCAGTTCCTTTGGTGGGACCTCCATGATGCTGCATCCATGAAGGCCCCTACGTTAGTCATGCAAAGGTACGAGGTGTTTTGGCCAAAACCTCGAAAAACCCAGTTGCAACGGCTTCCTCTGTTTCATCAGAATGGAGCAGAGCAATCTTGCGCTTAAGCTTTGATGATGAAAACATGCTGAAACAAAACCAAGCTCAACCAGACCTTAAGGTAAAGATGTTGACGGTGAAGGAGAACGGACAGGAGGATCCGAAACTGCATGCTGAATAAAACCATTGGAAGTGATATGAGATAAGTTGGGATGTCCACCATCAAGAGCTTCCACATGCATGAAATCATAGTATGTATGACCTACAACTGGAAAAACGCGAATGTGAGCTTCATGCCAGAAATTATGGATGAGGAGAGGTCTGCGCCTATTTCTTGGCGGCTTTGCGCGCAGATGAGGAAGCAATGGCCAAAATCCATTCAAACAATGCTGAACAGGGGGATAATGTTGACGTCCGTTTGCTTCCCAGTTCAGGTTAATGAACCATAACTTCAAAGAATGCCATAAAACCAGCTTGCCCATGTGAAACGCGGTTCTAACAAGCATCTTGATCCAACTCGAAGGCGTTGACGACCGTGAATGTGAACTCGATGTCTGCGCATGCAAGTATTATGCTCAACGATAATGTCCAAATCTCAACGAGCCTAGAATACCTCATGACGTCTCCACTCATGCACTAAAAGTAGCAGGGTCTGCTCTGAAAGAGGTATGTAGCGAGACCAGGGACTAATCCAGAAATTGTTTTATGGGGGGCTATAACTAAAAGTTTATTTAAAAGTGGGGACCTAAAGGTGATTTTAGCAATTTTTTTTTATAAAAATTAACTCACCATTTACAAACGAAATTTTGAAACATGGTGGGGAGGCCACAGCCCCTGCTGGCGCCCCCTTGGATTCGTCACTGAGCGGGACAATTGGTCTTTTGGGAAGAAAGGACTGATAGAGCAATTATGAAGTGTAGACATGGGTAATTGCTGAATTAAAAGAGTGGAGTGAAAAACTTGAAGCCTGCCGTAGTTAAGTAAATGAGGTCCTTTCCACGTGAAGACACCTGTGCTTGCGGTGAAGAAAGCTTATGATCCAACGACGCAGAATGAAGATCCAAATCAAAGTTAGATCGTTTATTTGGATACTCACAAGTTGAATCAGAACCGTCCAGCAGATCAGAGAAGCTTCGCTTATGATAGCGAAGAACTGGAGGAGTGACATGCACATTGACACCTGTACTTGAGGAATCAGTGAACAGTGGACCGACTTACTAGATCCAGTGTTTTTGATAATATTCTCTTAAAAACTTATTCAAAAAATAATAATAAAAGATAAACTAAATTAAATTTTATTATTTTGTTTGAATATTATTTAAAAAAATTTATTTGTTAAGAGATTTCATTTAAATATTTAGTTTTTATTTAAATTTAAATCTTATTTAAATTTAAATTTTATTTAATCTTTCATTATTTAATTATCTAAATTTTATTTATATTTATCTTTATAAATATAACTAACAATTCAAATAAAATAATTCCTTAAACTTCTAAAGATGATTATTGAAAAAAATATAGGATAAAATTTTTATTCTATATTATTTTAAGAAATTTATTTTATTATTATTTTTTTATTATTATTTTGAGCACTATTAATTTAACATCAAAGTCTAGTTAACCATGGTTACCACACGCATTGGGAATGAATCTGTCAGCCCTCTTGCCCACTTATCCAACAACACACCTTCAGATATCGAAAATTCAGAAAATCTCAGCCAAACTACACCAGACCATTTGGCTACTATTGCATCACGAATTGAGAAGCTTGACTTGCTTCACAAAAAAGTAGAGGCCTTAGATGACCGGCGAAGACGAATTAACTAGGAAGAAGAGAACGAAGAAGAATCAGACTTTCACTATCCCTCATCCACCTCAACCAAAAATTGAATTTCCCAAATTCAATGGAGGAGACCTTTGGGGATGGATTCTTAAGGCTAATAAATACTTTCAGTACTACCACACGCCAGAAGAATCAAAGGCCGACATAGCCTCAATGTCTTTAGAAGGAGACATTAGATCTATTTTCATGGATAAACTCTGAACGTACCTTGTTATATTGGGAAGAATTGGTGACTGTGCCACAAGAAAACTATGGTCCACCTAAATACCAGAATCCTAATGAACATCTCTGCAGCATCAGACAAATCGGCTCCGTGCAAGAATACCAGCAAGAGTTCTCTAAACATTCGACCAGAGTAAAAAATTGGCTAGAGCATTATTTCTTCAGTGTTTTCTTAAGCGGCTTGAAGGCCGAGTTGCATTCTGATGTGCGCATACATAAACCAGGGAGTGTATATCATGTGATGAGTCTGGCCCTAGAATTTGAAGGGAAGATGAGTGCTCATGGGTCAAAACCCGACCTAGTTCGGAATCCGACCCAGTTTACTAATTACCCATCCTCTTTCGCACGTGACCAAAATCAGAGGCAATAAAATGAATACTCGAACACGTCTACTGACGTGTACAGGTCCCAGGCTTCTTCGGCTTCATCTTCTTCACTTAAACCAGCGAGTTTGAATTCGGCCAGACCATTTCCCATGGAAGCCGAGCACCAAAGAATGAAGGAGAAGGCGATTTGTTTCCATTGTGGTGAAGTTTTCCATCTTGGACATCGCTGTAAAGGGTCTTTTGCATTGCTGGAAATTGTGGATGAAGTGAAACGGAGCCAAAGGATGCAAAAATCTCACTTAATACAATTTTGGGTGGCAATTCAGGATTAGCAATGAAACTGCGTGGCATGCTTTGCTCTCGAGAAGTATTATTATTAGTGGATAGTAGGTCCATGCATAATTTTATATCTGATGTATTAGTACAGGAACTTCATCTCCCTACCTAGACTCTTTCCACCTTCGGAGTTCAGATCTATGACAGTAGTATTATGCACTGCAATAGAATTTGCAAAAATATAAAAGTGAGATTGACGGGATTAACCATTAAGGAAGATTTTTACCCCTTCACTTTGGGATGGGCTGATTTGATTCTCAAAATTAAGTGGTTAGCATCTCTCAATACGGTACAAGCCAACTAGAATCAACTCTTTATGATTTTTTGGTTGAATGGCAAGAGATATAAGCTTCAAGGGGTACCTACTGACACTATAGGTGCTCAATTTAATTCAATGCAACAAATAGCTGCTTTCACTGACTTCATCCTATTCCAAGATTTTAAACCAGAGCCGTTGTTTGATGGATTCACCTCTGTTTTTGAAAAACCTACTAGTTTGCCTCCATTCAGAAACCATGCGCATACCATTCCTTTGTTACCAGTGGCTAATCCTATTAATCTACAACCATATAGGTACCCATACTATCACAAAACAAAAATTGAAAAACAATTAGAAGAATTGCTAAAATTTGGGTTTATCCAATTTAGTTCTAGTCATTTGCTAGTCCAGTCCTATTGGTCACAAAGAAAGATGGTTCATGGCATTTCTATGTAGACTACTATAAATTGAATAGCATTGCAATCCCAGATAAGTATTTGATTCCTAGCATTGATGAGTTATTAGATGAACTATATGGGGCCATCTATTTTCCAAAACTTGATCTTCATTGTGGCTACCACCAAATTTGAATGTTACTTAAGGATATCCATAAAACTGCATTTCACACTCATTTTGAGCACTATGAATTCACAGTTATGCCTTTTGACTTAACTAACGCCCCATCTACTTTTCAAGCTAATATGCATGACTTATTTCATCTCTATTTGAGGAAATTTGTATTAGTATTTTTTGATGATATTTTGGTGTATAGTCCTTTTTTTCAACAGCACCAAGATCACTTGTGCATAGTTTTGAAGGCCTTGCAAGAAAATGTGTTTTGTTTTAACTTAAAAGAATTCTTTATTGGGATGCCACGAGTTCCCTTTTGGGGGCACAAAATTTCTACCCAAGGAGTGGAAGTTGAGGCTAAAAAGGTAGAGGTAGTACAAGAATGGCCTGTTCTTAAAAATGTGAAAGAGCTACATGGTTTCCTTAGCCTTGCAGGGTATTATCGATGTTTTGTAAAGAATTTTAGGATCATTGCTTGCCCACTTACTGAGTTAACTAAGAAGGATGCTTTCTTATAGTCTGAACAAGCTCAAAAGGCCTTTAATCGCCTTAAACTTGCATTGATGATGGCCCCAATCTTACAGCTACCTAATTTTGAAGAATTATCTACAATTGAATGTGATGCATCAATGGAAGGAATTGGAGCTATCCTTATGCAAAACAACCATCCCATTGCTTATTTCAATAAAGGTTTCTTTGTCTCTAACCATTGCAAATCAGCTTATGATTGTGAACTCCTAGCATTAATTCTTGTCATACAAAAATGGCACCATTACCTTCTTGGGAGACATTTCTTCATACGAACGGATCATGCTAGCCTTCAATATCTACTGCAACTACACATCACCAGTAACACTCAGCAGCAATTGATCATAAAGCTTTTACCCTTTAATTTCACTATTATCCACAAGGTATGTGCGGATAACAAGGGAGTGGATGCCTTGTCAAGGTGACCCCAACATGTAGACTTTTTCCACATGGCAATGCCACTTGCATCTGAATTACAAGATCTATCCTTTGAGCTAGCATTAGATCTCTTTACTAGTGAGATAATTCTACAAAGGGACCCATCTTCTCAATCCACATTCCATTTGGTTGACCAAAAGCTCTTCAATGACAATCGAGTAGTCATTCCTTACATATCACAATTAAGACCCAAATTATTAGCGGAAGCTCACTCATTGACTACTAGGGGACACGAAGGTTTTCTTAAAACCTTTAAGCGGCTCACAAGGCACTTTTATTGGCCTTCCATGAAGTCGAATGTGAAAGCGTATGTACAACATTGTACCACTTATTAGCAAAATAGATATCAAACATCAACACCAGTAGGTCTTCTTTATCCCTTATCAATACCCTCCTAGATTTGGGAAGATATGCCACTTGACTTTATCACCAGCCTTCCAAAGTCAAGTGACTTCAAGGTTACATTGGTAGTAGTTATTGCTCACCGCAAGTGCATAAGTCATAGCAAGTAATATTGTAGCATCAATTTTGAACTAGATTATCTAAGCTCAATCAGATTAATTAAGTGTGTATTAGTGAGGTGTGTAGACAAAGAGGCCTAACGGGCGTGTTTGGTCTCAATTTTAGCCTTAAATGCAGGTCTAAAGGAGAATCAAGTCACCCGAGAATAAAAGAGGAAGAAATTTTAAGAAGGGAGCTTCTGTGCCACACACTGTGGCTTATGGATAAGTCGCCACGGTGTATGTGTGACAACACGCTTGGAAGAAGCTCTCTGTGCCATGCATAGTGGTGCATTGTGCATCCACCACAACACATGGTCACTTTTTTACTGTGATAAGTCGCGAATCTGATACAATGGAGAAGAGAAGAAATGAAGAACACCAGAGAACAGTGAAAGGACGGTGCTAGGGCTTAGGAAGACTGAGTATTAGAAGTATTTTGGAGCTTATAAACATCAAAGGTAAGCTTCCTTACTTAAACCTTTCTCTCTTCTTCCATTTTCTTAATGGTAGAGGTTAGGGTTTGATTGATAATGGTATTTTTAGTTCATAGAGGCTATGGATCCAAACCCATTGACTTAAATAGAGTTAATAGGAGTATATTGAGCTAAGCAAACTTGGTATTTATGATTATATGATGATTAGTGATTGAAGGACATTCAATGTCCAAAATTTTCATAAGTATGGTGGTTGGGAACAATGTGGTTCCATTTATGACATTAAAGAGCTCAATATTATTAATGAGGGTTAAAGGAAGCTAAGAGGCCTTATGGGTACTTTTACATGAGTTAAGAATAAATCTTGAGTATTAAGAAATGTTGAACTGGTGGTGAAAATTAGCTCAAATGTGGATATTAATAATTTGCATTGTAAATACTTGTAGAGTGAATAGTGTTGGCACCATTCAAGCTTCTTAAAAAGCTTAGAGAGTGAGTATTCAAGGGGTGAAACCTTTGAGAAGGTAATCAGGAAAATTCTAGCTTAAACTTTTGTGTGTTTATTAGTTATTAAGTGATAAATGATGATTGAACTATGTGAAATTGATTAAAATGTAAATGTGGCTTGCTTTGCTTGAAAAAGCCCACTATGAATTGGTGAGTCAAAAAAGTTCAATGATTTTGGAATTGTGCAGTTTAATGATTGTTAAAGTGTGGGGTATCATGATTATGAAAATAGAAGTTCAATGATTGAGTGATAGAAATACAATGATTTTCAAAGTTGGAGTTCAATGACTTGTTTAAATCAGAGTTCAATGACTTGTTTGATTTGGAATTCAATGACAATGTGTTTAAGAAGTTCAAGGAGTTGTAAAATGGTGAAGTTTAATGAAATTGACTATGTAGAATGCTATGAATTAAATTAAATATGAATTTTGCATAAATATGCATTGCATGATCTAGAGAGGTAGGAGTTCACCTAGGAAGAGGAGTAGAGAATTAAATCCATGTGGTAAGGCTCCCATCGAAGTGGTGGCTTGCTTGGATTGATTATATTCATATTGTCCCACCTGTTCCATGAGGGACTATCCCACTGGTTCAACAAGGGACTCAAACCTAGCTAGCTATATACTGGTTCAACGAGGAAGCTAGTTTAGGGTGTATGACATCCTATAGTATGAGGATTGGGGGAAACCGTGTTCCATAAGTAAGTTGGGTGTGTCTTGGCCAAGTAACCCCCCACAAGTATTTAAGCTAGGGAAGTCATGGATTATAGACTATCTCATTGTGTTATAGCCCATAGTTTCATGTCAAAGAAATAAGGAGGATATAAAGGAGGTGTGATCATGTATATAGTGAGTAAGAGCACATGGTTGTCGGTATTGCGTCCCTAATGTTAATAATTACAAGTTAAGTCTTAATGACTTTCGATTATATGTCATTAAAATGTGTGACAAACTTTCTTTGATAAGAAAATTGTTAAAAGGCATTATTTTCCAAGTATGTGCTTTTATGCTTGGAGGTATGGAATTATATTCTCAAATGATGTTCCTGGTTTGAAGAATTATTTATATATATCCCACTTGCATTTAAACTAATTGATATGCATCAGTATGGGTTAGTTAGACCTTGGTTATTGAGTAATTGTACTTACCCTACTAACTTCAATATTACAAGGAATAGCTCAAGGAGTTTGGAAAGAGAAAGCCATCTAGAGACTTAGGATTGGATCCTATTTAGTATGCCTCTTTATTTTTTTTATCATTATGTGTATTTGACAATTCAAATTGCTAACTATGTTTCATCCATTTTTGGTTCTTACTTGTATTATGTGTTTGTGAGTTGTAAGTGTATTTTGGGCCTTAGGGTTGAAGTTTTGTAAAATATGTAATAAAGCCAAAATACTAATACAAGTAAGAGTA